AGTGTGAGGACTCTACGTCTTTGCGGTTTGGGGAGTTTGGGAAGTACAGTGCCTCTGAGGGTTGGGCTCTTTTGTCCTGATTATTGGCAAGGCGCCCAGGGAAACAAAGGCTCAACCCGAGCACCTGAAGCAAGGTGACTCCATCACTGGTAGAGTCAGGAAAGAGGGTGTCTGGTACCTCAGCGCCAGGCTGTTTTCCTCCTTTGACACTTTCCCTGATTGGAATTGGTGTGCCTATCTCTCTCATTGCAGGTCCAGGTGAGACAAGGTGATGTACGTCCTGTTCTCTCTGCCTGGGTGGCAGTAATAAGAATATAATGGGGGTACATTTGCATTCGTCTACTCTGGTATTATAAAGCTCTATATTACACAGATGTGATGGGTTCGGTGTGACAGAACGGGGGGAATTAATCTTTCGAGCGGAAATCAATACATAAAACAACAGGCCAAGAAGCCAACGAGAGTTCTGACTCAGAGCAAGGTCGAGGACGAAGAGCTTGTCTCATAAAATTTCACAGATGCATAAACACCTGAATATATCACCCGACACACTCTCTCAATTCAATCTACTGCCTTCCATCTCAGAGTGAGAGGAACGGAGCGAGAGAGAGGGAAATTTAAATAGCTGTCCGATATGTTTATGTGTTGGTGTAGCTGGGGGACTCCATGCCAAGGAGCAGTGCTCAGGCCAGGGACTAAGATAAAATTAATCCAGCTCTGACCCGGACGCAGAACACAGGGAGGGAAAGTGAGGCGAGCTTTTCCCAGATGCATTTGCATGCTTCCATCAGTCACAGTGCCAGCTAAGCAATCAAGAAGGGTCAGAACATCAATATGAAGTAAACGAGTGCCTGAACTCCTATGAACCTTAACAAATTCTCCTCTAGGTCAAACAAGGAACCTGCCTATAATGAATCAAAACTGCATTGGAACAGATTTTTTTCAAGGATCAGTTCTTCATACAGCCTTGTTAGACAGATTGATTGATTGTAAATAATCAAGAACAAATTTCATTATTAATTAGTTGGTCTGCACACTGTGCGGCATCTGCTAGTGCCGTCATTTTACAGTACTGTAGAAAAATGCATTTCTATGGACAAAACACGTAAATAATAGAGGTCACAGATTGGGCTGCTGTGGGAAATGTGCATGATGCAAAATGTTCAAAAACATGATAAAGCTTTAATATAAATGCTTCAACCAATCTCACAAGTGTAAAGTAACACGACTTGCCCTTTTAGGTGCTTTGACAGATGTGTGCGCTTTCCATATACGTAAATGTTAGAAATGACAGCAAACGTCACAGACTTAACCAAGCAAGTGCAAGTCTGATTGAATGCATGCGTGTCAAACAAATGGAGTGCACAGAAAGGGAGCACAATATTTCTGCCTAAAACAAAGTGCTGCAGTAATTAAATATTTGTGTATGCCAACTCAGAAGTTAGCATCACAGTTCCTGCCTCAGGAAAACCCAATCAAATTTTGCAAATGCCTTTTGCATTGTTGCAGAAAATAAGCTCTGTGACCAACAAAAGTAAGTTTTGTTCATCGTCAATTTTTCCAACAACTTTATCAGTCTTTATTTAAAAACATTTTCCCTGAAAGTTTGTGTTTGAATAATTTGCAAAAGCACAAGCCACTTTTAGAGCTTAAAAAAATCACAAGGGGAATTACTTATGTATTATAAGTCATCGAATAAAAAGTGAAAATATCTTGAGCTTTTGTTAAGCAAAGACCTTATTTCAGGCATTTATCCAAAAACCCATTGACTTTAGGATGATGGAACCAAAAATGCTAAAATGTTAACACGTTTCTGAATTTTGGCCTGTAAAGATATGCCATCCCTGCAGCACTCGATTAATACGTGGTGTGAGAAATAGTACTTAAAACTTGAATGATGCCTGACAGCGAGTCCGTTAAACTTCACTGAACGAGAGCACGCTTGTGCGCGTCAAATAGAAAGCCAACACAATAATTCTGACTATAATACACGATCTGAAACAAGCCTTAAAACTGAAATGAGGCTAAATTGTTTATAGATATGCTGTTTAAAAAATTGCTTTTATTTGCAGTTCTTGTTCAGCTACAAAAAATTATTTGAAGCACCTTGACTGTCAGTCTAATAAGTGTTTTGTCACATTACAGTTTACTTTCCTAGACATATTTATTCAGCTCATTTAGTATGGCTGCTGAAGTAAGACTAGTTAATATGAGGAGTTTGCTGGGAATTAATTTTCATCCGTTCTCAATGTACCATAAGGAGCACAGCTCAGCAGAGCTTGTTGGCCCTCAAGGCTAATGTAATCTGTCAGAACTGGCCCAGATGTTAAACGTCACATACACACATACATGTACAGGTTTATAAACATGCACACGTGCACAAAATTGAAGTGTTTAACTCTCTCTCTCTCTCTCTCTCGCTACTGTTTATATCCCTTTCTTTTCTCTCACTCTCTAGTATTGATTATTCAGCCAGAACTTGAGGGGCTCAGCACCCCAGATGTCAGCGGGGTTAAGTAAACCAGCCCAGTGTTTTCTGTACAGCAACAGTATAGCGAAACTTGGCTCATCCTGCCAGCTCTGAGACATTCCTGTAATTGACTCTAAAATGAGACACGGCTAACACGAGGCCACTAGAAAGCAAAATGACGTGGAAACTGACAGACGCACACACACATACTGTAGCACATATATTTGCTGCCCTGTTAGCTAAATAAAACAAATGCATTAGGAAGAGGATGCTATTTGTGAAATTATATATCACTTTTATTACTATATACTGAATAATGCAAACAGTCCGATGGTTTGGTGGTTGCAAACTGGGGACTGTGTTGGAATGGATTATTTTTTTATTTTTCTCCAAAGGATAAAAAAAAAAAGACATTTCTGAGTTTGTTTGACAAACACTGTTCACTTCTTATTTTTTTCTGGCCACCCCAAATATATCCAAAATTATATCAAGGAAGACTATTTTTTGTTCAGATGCTGCTGATGTCTTCATGAAAGTAAATATTTCATGCAGCATGATCTAGTTAACATGCATTACTGTAAATCTTGTTTCAGCTTCAAATGTTCATGACAGAAGCAAAATATTATTAGTTGATGCATAAAATGTGCCTTTAACCTAAAATAAGGATGTATAAGTGCATATTTTGGCCACATTTCTATTTTGTTTTTCACATGCTTAATCAAAATTTTGCCTTTATTAATTAATTTAAAGGGTCCTGTGGTGTGATGAATAAACTATATGTATATAAATATATTGATATGTTTATATAAATACATGTTTATGTATTCATATTGTTGGCTCTTTGACACACTGCTTTTGTTTTATTTGTTTTAAAGGGGTCATATGATGCTTTTTTAAAGATCATTATTTTGTGTATTTGGTGTAACAGAATTAACAGAATATGCTTTAAAGGGGTCATATGATGCTGCTAAAAAGAACATTATTTTGTGTATTTGGTGTAATGAAATGTTTATGCAAATATTTCCACATAGTGAGGTAGATATGTGGGGGCGTGTTAGAACGAGCCGTTTTAGGGGGCAGAGTCTTAACTTTGATAAAGAATATCTCTTTGGTTTTGAGACTTTAGTCTTTGCAACTTCAGGGATCTTATCTATGCACAATCAGCTTGTAACACTCCAAAGAGAAAGGAAAACTTGAAATCGCATCATATGACCCCTTTAAATGTCTGCTAATTGCATAAATGTAAATATTACACTTAGTCTCTCAATAAATATATCATAGCACCTTACATAATAATTGTTAAAGAATTAGCAAAATATATTTTAAATTATTTTAAATGTCAATATCCTAAAAGTATTTCATGCCAACTACTCATATTTCACAATAAGGCGCATTTTCACAGATTTGGTCTTGTACTTGTATTTGTAATGTACAAAGGCAGCATAAATGCATTTACAGGTGAATCACTATTGTATGACAGAGTAATAAACTCTGAAAGTTGTCTTTTAATAAAATATAGATGTATGACTTTTAATAAAATATAAAAAAAACATGAAATGAGCAGACACGTTTAACCAACACTGTAAAGAAAAGGAAAACAAAAACGGGACAGGACATTATCAAGTAATTAAAAAATAAATAAAATCTAGTAAAACACCTGTAAAACAAAACTCGTACAGTATATTGTCCCCTATTTTTATGGATTTTTTTCCATTAAAGATATCATTATAACTATAACAAATTAGTCTATGTTCATATGCTCTGTCGCATACTGACTTTGACACTTAGCCCCATGTGAAGCTACTGTGCTAGGTGAAGTAAGGTTAACTAGTGTTATAACTCTGAAATGGTTATGTGAATAAATTAATGCTGGAACCGTGGAACTCCCTTAGGTCCTGCAAACTAACCACTCACATAAATGTGCCAAGCCATGCCGCATTCTCATATCCTAGATACTTTAATATGGATGTTGCTGTTCGCATGTGTGATGGATCCTCGCAGACCCACACACAAACACTTTAATATTGATGGGGAAATCCATAAAATTGCTTCCTTCACTCTTATCAGCTCCAGCAAGAAATGGAAGTTGTGGCACTCTTTATATCTAAAAGTCTGTAACTGCGGCTCCCCGCGGGGTTTAATTTCTATCCATTCGGGAGTGACGGAGTGAGAAAGACAGCGTAGCTCATAGTTCTTGTGATGCACTTTATTCTGGAACAGAGAGTTCTTGCTCTGCCTTAATTGTTGTTTGCTGACCTTTAGCCAGCTGGTGTGCTTGCCATCTTCTCCCAGTCAAACTGTTTCATGCTCCAGACTTTTGAAATGGTCAAATGAACAATTGAATTACTGTAACGGTGGCAAACGGGGCTTAGAAGAAGCTACGCTGGCATAGAGAGAGCGGAGCATGTTAAGATGCAGAATCAGTGTTTTTGCAATCAAATATCTTACAAAAGGCACTGGAGCTCACATTAGTTGCCATGGAGACATTGATAACTATGCTGTCTTTGTTTTTTTGTTTTTCTCTTCTTAGGTCTGGCTGTTCACCAGATCATCACCATCACTGTGTCCCTCATCATGATCGTTGCAGCCTTGATCACTACTCTAGTCCTTAAAAACTGGTAGGAAACATTCTTTTCTTTCAGCACTGTGTCTCAGTGATTTTTCTGTCTGTGTTCCTCTTGTCTGTCTCTCCCTATTCCTGTCCCTCAGTCTGTTTATTATCTTTTCAATCTGTCCTTCTCTATCACTCTGTCTGTCAATGTGGACAGTGACCCTTTATTGCGCCAAGCAATCCGGACACTTGTACACAATAGCTTTTTCCCAAACCTGTTGAGCTTCCTCAGTAGGCAGCATTTTAAGGTACCTAAGATACATTCTTTTGGAATTGTATGAATCTTCTGCAGAGAGAGCAATCCCAGAGTGCATTGCAACATGAATGTGAGAGCATTCTGTTCATAACGTAAAAGTTAATTCAATTATAAAATGATTTCTAAAATTGGTTACTAATAAAAATAATGCTAATAAAAATACAAATGATTAGAAACGAAAATGTTCATTAACCAAGACTCAACAAATACTGAAAATTACTTCTTGAAAAATGGTAGTTATAATATATATATAAAAAATAATAATAATTAGAAACAGATGCAAGAGAAATGTGCATTATTCTAGATACTGAAAATTATGTTGAAAAAAATGTTACAAATTCAAATAATACTAATAAAAAATGTAATATTTATGTTTACTATCCAAGATACTGCTGAAAAATTTTAATAATAATAATCAACATAATAACCATTTTTTAAATAATTAGGAGCTGACTATTTTTCAGATGTGAGAGAAATGTTCATTATTCAATATTCATTCAATACTGAAAATTATTCCTAAAAAAAACTTTGGTAATAAAAATAATATTAATAAAATGTTACTAATTAAAAATTATTTTAAAATAATTAAAAACTCAAATATTAATTATCCAAGATACTGCTAAGCAGTTGGTAGTGGTAGTAGTTGTAATAATAATAATAATAATAATAATAATAATAATAATAATAATAATAATAAATGATTTAAGTGAAATGTTAATTATTCAAGATTTATAAAATACTGAAAATTATTTCTAAAAAATGTTAATAAAAAAAATAAAAATAAAATGTTAATTAATTCAAAATAATTATAAAACAAATAAACGTTCATTATCCAAGATACTGCAGAAAAATGGTAGTAATATTAATAATTTTTAAAATACAAATAAATAAAAATACATAAAATAATTCAAAAATAATCATTAGAAAAATACTATTTTACCCCAAATGTATGTGTACTATGTATATTTATGCTAAAGTGTCGAGTTGATCTTCACATTGAAATCAACTTTTGTCAAGCCATTTTGCTGCACTTTGCTGCCTATGTAGAGCATTTCAGATCAGCCATTTATGAGGTTCCATTTCAATCAGAATGCCTATTTAGGAAACACAGCGAGGAGGCTCACTAGGTTTCGAACAGAGCTAAATTTGTCTGTGTCTGCCTCCCTAGTCCATGTTAAATGTAGGACAGACACAGCGGTTCAAGGTATGATTTTATGTTGGCTTTGTGAATTTGGTGCGTGTTTTTGTAGTTGTGCGCAGTCCGGGAATGGCCGACACAGCAGCCATCAGAGAAAGATCAACCAGCAAGAGGAGAGCTGTCAAAACCTGACTGACTTCACGCCCGCCCGCGTGCCCAGTAAGGTGGACATCTTCACTGCCTACAACGACAGTTTACAGTGCTCGCACGAGTGTGTGCGGGCCGGCATACCGGTGTACACGGACGAGATGATTCAGCACACACCCATCTACAAGACCTCCTACAATGGAAACAGGCAAGAGTCCAACATTAATATATATTCTCCAGAAAAAAAAAAACTGGGCTGGATGTTGCTACTGCTGACCAAGTAGTTGGGACAGCGAAGAGACTGCACTGACATCCCAGTCCGTACATTCTGTACATTCCTCGTAGCATAGAGTAGGTTTAGTGCTGTCAGAAACAATGTTAATTCTGAAAAGCTTGAACACTGGACCAAAGCAGAGCAGAAGAAACATTATGCACCAATGTATAACATGCTGTTTAAAGTGCACATCACGTTTGACCCCGGCTGTTTGCCATTTTAAAAAGCGGCCATTTACATGACTGAAAACGGAAAACCATTTATGCGCCTTGGCTGTTTATTTACACGACAACGGCATTTTAAACGACACCTGAAAATGGAAACGTTTGAAAACCAGTTTCAAAGTGCAAGTTTTTAAAAACGATACCAGTATTGTCACAATATAAACTATATTAAATAAATAAATTAATTGAAATGTTTCTTTACAAAGTGACATCACCATCTACTGGTATGCATAATACAGTGTTTTAGTCATTTTCGCAGATCCTTGTGAACGGAACATTTGGAATACGTTGTTGTCTGTTTGCAAAACTTTTCAAAAATGCAAAGGAAAACTTTTCTGTTTTCTACTTGATTTATCTTTTTTTCGTATATCTTTTTTTATATAACAGTGCAGTCTCAGAATAAAGGTACAAAGTTAAAAAGGTAAAAAAAAAAAATGTAAATTTTTTTTTAAAAACCTTATTAACCCCTAAATGGTACATATTAGTACCTTTATTAGTGCCTACAGTGTAAGAATAGAGTTTTGTACCTTTTTTTCTGAACTGTACTTTAGCTGACAGACAGTTTCCATATTAAAACATTCTTAGAGAAGTTGCATCTTTAAATTCATCCTGTATAATGCACAGCCATTCACACGAAGACAGACTCTCTGGCAGTTGCATCATGTCTCATGCTGTTTTCTCCTGTAGTTATGAGTTATTTTTTAGCTATTTATGACAGCTTGTCAAGTTAATAATAGTCCAACTTTTAAATGTCAGTGGTCTTAAAACCCCTGCATTCTGTTCCATTCTAACTGTTTTTGAACGCAAGAATGTGATAGTTTCACCATTCTTAAAGTGCTGCTTTTAATATGTTTTTCCCTGCTACAATCTTCAATAATAGAATAATTTAGCCTTTAATGTGCATTTTGAAAATAACCAGTTGAATCTGCCAGACAGTCATTATTTTTCCGATAAGTATGTTGTGACAGTTGTGTATTCGTGTTTTTGTCCTTCCATTGCCCTTGTCTTTATAAAAGACTGAGTATGAGCTGTAAAATTGTATGAATAATTTCAGTGCTGCTTCATTTAATACTGTATGCTTCTGAATAGAAAAGCCTAGATGAGAGGGTTTAGGGTAAATGTAACTGTGGGCGCTTTGTTTGTGGTATAATGCAGTCGCCACATAAAAAAGAGTCTTGAATCAGGGAGTGGGACAGAAGTGCTTATATCTGCAGGATTGAAGAGCTGATCTGTCTGTCTATTCCAGACCGTCGCCCACTGAAAGGCAGCTAATCCCTGTGGCCTTTGTGTCTGAGAAATGGTTCGAGATCTCCTGTTGAGGCCCTTTTACTACCTTTGGGTTGAGCCCACGTCTTCAATTTGTGCCCTGGTATGTACTGTATTTCTTATAGCTCTGAAATCTATATGGTGTAATTCTGACATGCTTTTCCAGTGCTTGTGTACTTACTGGAAAATCACCGTTCCTCAGGGTTTAACAGCGATATTTCACTAGTCATAGAACTGAAATGAGTTGCAGACTTGTGGCTCAGATAAAAATACAACTGTTTACTGTTAGTTCATGTTAGCTCATATTGTATTAGTCAGTGTTATTTTACTATCATGATATACTACGGTAGTCTTTATTAATAGATTGAATTAGTTATACATTCTGTTTCTATTTTAATTGTTGTGAAAAATGTTGGTTTTTGTGTGTTTTTGTCATTTTTATTGTGTTTTTTTATATGTCTACATAGTTTTAATTATTTTTTATTTAATGTTTTTATTTTATTTATTTATTTTATTTTAGTACATCAAGTTAAGCTAAAATGTTTCTTTGGGAAATAGCTGAATTAAATATTTTATTTTCTTTCAGTTAACATTTATTTTATTTAAAGTAACAGATTCCCCCCCCCCGGTTTTAGTTTTAGTTAACTGTAATAACCCTTATATTAGTAAATACTGACTTTAACATTAATTAAGATTACAAAATGCAGAAGTAGATTAGAAGCAGAAGTTTTTCTATTGTTAGTTAATGTCAACTATAATGTAGTTAACTAATGACACATGCAACCTACTGTAAAGTGTTACCAATTACTTAATTTAGGTTAATATTAATTTCTATATGTACTAATATATTTTTAACATTTCAAGTTGTATAGAGTTAATGCATTATTGTTTCTTATATACCTTTAGAGTAGTTTATTTACAAAGGTACACTATCAGTTCTTATTCTATTTAAAAAGTCATATAACTTTAATATTTAAATACTTAAATGGAATCTTTTCTACTTTCAGGATCTCATTGGAAAACCTGTGAATCGAACACAAAAGACTAAAACACAATAAAGCAAAACAAAACCACAAGAACAACAACGACAAGCAATTACAGAGATGGGAAGCGAGACGAACAGGCAGTTTTGTATAAATGTCGGATCTCTCTAGAAGCGGACTGAAGATGTTTATTTTTCTAGACTGATGCAGTGCTATGGATACCACTCCCAAATTATTTTCCATAGACATGTGATCATTTTAGAGATGAAATACCTAGAGCTGATATATTATATACGTGTATTACTGCACATGTGGGTGTGCTGGAGAGGAGAGGCTGCGGGGACGCTCTCTGACACGATACGTCTGCTTGAGTGGAGAAAAGACTCTCCTGAACTTTGTGCCAATAATGCCATTATGTGCCACTACATATATAGATGGGACGCGTTCAGTTTTGTGGAAAATTACAGACACATCAAGTAATTTCAGTGACTGTCTCCCAATATAAATCTGTCATCCGTTTTTGTATAAAAAGTATGAATATGTATTTGAAATATGTTTTGAAATAGCTGAGGAAATGTGTTACAAATGTCCAAAAAATATTTATATGGAGCACTATTCATTTAGAGGAAAAAAAAATGAACCCAGTGAGGAATAGTATACCCAGGTTTTAATTTCACTACATTGTTACTAGGCCCCGTTTTAAAGGAATAGTCTCTATTTTTATACAAACGAGGTTACTTATGAGTCAGACAGACCCAATTCAACTGGACTCTTGGGACTGTTAATCTGCGAGTGGAGGTTCAATGAAAAGTTGAAATGTTTTTAAAGCTATCAAACAATGTGGAAGCCAGATTCAGTATTCATTTACAGCTTATTTTATTTGCCAAAGCCATGCTTCAGACGCTTGTTGAGTTTCCTTTTCTTTTTTTCTTTTATCACTGATGAGAAATTACATGTACGGGTTAATCATGTTTACGGACTCACAGACCCTCAGAGAGGTGTTTGATAACAACTGTTAGTTTGTGGGTCGAGCCTAAATAACACAATTATCTATTAAAACATTACAAAATAGGTAATAAACCTCCTCTAGGTTTTAATTACAAAGCTTAATTTGAATAAATCAGCAGACAATTATCAGCCACGTGCATAGACTCATAAAGGACTAAATATTGTGTTACTTTATTTTCGTGCCTAGTAATTTGTGCCAACTTGATTTCATTTGCGTTTACTTACTAACAAAACCATGAATGTCCCTTTCATTGTGTGCTATGTTTTAATTTAAGCTAATAGTTTATTATTTATCGTTTTTCACAGTTTGATTTATTAGAGCAGAACTGACTCAGAGGCAAATATTCTATCAGCAGAAACAGAAACATCTAGTGCCAATCATTTTAATAGCAATCAGAAATGCAGTAATATACAAACAGCATGAAACTTGCCAATCTGTGTGTGAGAGAAAGAGAATGTGTGTATCTCTACTCGAGCATCAATAGACCAAAGAGCTCCGCTGTGGGAAACAGTGCATGAACAGACCAGGACAGTCATTCTGTACATGACGAGTAAAGAAAATAAGAGAGAGGATAACTGTTATTTTATCCCAAAACAGATGTTTAATGCTTACAATTACATATTGTACAAAGGCAAACACTGTGAACAAGGAAAACAGTTGTTTGCAATAGTCTGTCACTGAAAGTGAAACGTCTTGGAGTAAATTTAATCATAGGTTTTCAGATGTTCCTCAAAATGTTTATATAAGCAGTAGAGAATTGTGATTCCTGTTTTCATCCTTGGAAGACAGCAATACATATGAAGTTTTGTCAACTTTTTACTTTTTTTCCCTCCACAACTGTCTATAATTGACCAATTTAGGAGATCATGTGAACCACACTGGCCAATCATGTTAGGTATTTAGAAAAGTACTAATTATATACTGGAACACTAAGCTCTGTATTATGTACATGTGTAAATGTGTTTTCTATATATTTACCTCTATTCTATCTTGTGATCTTTTTGAATCCTCTTTTTCACAGGATCAGTGGAAAAGTTTGAAACAGATTTTTTGTTTACATCGAATAAGTTGCTGCAGAGGTTACAGAAAGACAAATATACACTTTTTTGTTGTGCCAAGCCTAAAAAAAACAGTTGTTTTTGCTGTAGCTGTAGTTCTTCTAATAATTAGGAAATTCCAGGTCATTTGCATTATATTTTAATACAAGGAAGCTTTATGGGATATCATGCATTTCAGGCATTTTGTGGGTTTCAAGAGCGAGTATGATTTTTTATTTTTTTTGTCCAAGTTAGTGCTAAACGAGACTCTTTGAGGAAAAAAACAATATATATATTTTAGGGGGGGGGTTAAATTAAAAACACTACCGGTGTTTTGTCATTCTCTTTCTCTCAGAGAATGAAAATATCTCCAAACCATCTCAGTCGACAGCTCAATAAACTGAACGTCAATTAAAAAACACAATAAATCTGAACAGACTGGCCCGTGTGACTGCCGGCACAGGAGAAGATTTGTGCTGTGAGTCTGATAAACATGTCTGGAGTTTGACTGAGTGTGGAATGTTGATTTGTTCTTCAGTCTTGACAGAGCTCAGAATCAGTTGAACACAAATCTGCTGAATAAAAGGTTAATTGACTTTGTGCTAAGCTCCGCCTTAAAACACTACTGACCAATCCTACTGTACTTTACCAACAGTTTGCCATATCATAAGACAAGCTTATGTAAGCGTGTTTGAATAGTTTAAATGCAATTTTATAGAAAGTAATATAATATAATATAATAGACACATTATATTGTATTATATTATATCATATTATTAAAATTGTTAATAGGTCCATTTATTTTGCCTGGATTTAATATTATTAAATAAACATCTTTAAAGAAAAAATGAAGATAGTAATTTTCATTCCATCCCACGTAAGAATAATGCATTTTTTTTAACACTTATGGGCACATTTTACTGTAAGTCATGCTTTTTATGTACATCTATCATTTCCGATTGTAGATTCTGTAAGGCTTGTCTAAGGGAACAACAGTACCAATGGGACAGAGGTTAGGGGAATAGAAAATTGGCCATTTTCATCTGTGCGTTACAACTGAATGTGCTTTCTCATTCATTTTGAGTCTATCAGAACTTTCACTGAATGAAACCTGCTGAATCCAGTGCAATATGATGTTTTTTTATATGACAAATAGTTCTAAATCAGCACCCTCCTCGTTGTTGACATGTAAATTACACACTGCTTATTGTAAAGGCTTATTTTGTTGTCATGTGTTGCATTTTTTTGTTTTCATGTGGTACTATACTCAGGCATCATCTATCTATGAACATGTTATTTTATAAAAGGCAAGTATCTAATGTTTACGGACACAAATCTTTGTTGGCTTCAGTTCTGTTCGTTTTTGTTTTTTCTTAAGCGACGCACATTTCATGATGACAGGTTTCATATGATGCAGAACGTACTCGTAAACGTCCCCTCCAAAAAAACCCAGGGCTGTCAGATTACGCCAAATTCCTCCTTGTCTGACAGAGATCCGTAAAAACCGTTTAAACTTATAGAAACCGGAAACTCTTTACTGAGGCTTAGTCAAGGAGTATCTGAGATGGTCTTTGGCTTTTGATTTGCTGCAGGTACAATTTATTACATTGCTCAATATTCCATGCGAAAACAACCTGACACATGTCCTGTTGTTGCCATAGAAATAAAAACTTTGTACTTTGTGTACCTTAACTTTTTATATTTGTGTCTAATATATCGATGAGTACCTCTTTTTTCTTTTATATAAGATCTATGAATATAGTACACAACACAATATATGAGAAAAAACACACATGAAAACACACGGATGCTGTGTGAACTAACAGTCTCTGTGTCGAAATAGTGCTGTGTACTTTTATTTTGTGTCTTTGAGTCTCTCTCTCTCTCTTTTTGTAGGTATTGGTAAAGTTACATTTCCAGGTGACATTGATTTTGATTCTTGTTCTAAAGCTCTCTGTGTTTTGGCCACTGTAAATGCAGCTGTCGTCAGAATGAATCTGTACATTTAGTACTCTCTCAAGTTGCTATTAATAAGATGTTAAAATGAAATGGGCTGTCTTTCTATAAACACCATCAAATGTTTGTAAAATGATTATGGGGTGTTATTTGGACTGGGACAATGATATTGAAAATAAAAGTCATTCAAAAAAGAGAAGCACTGTAATGCTGGCATATTACTGCTGATTGTTTCTTGAAATCATTTATCTCACGTCCTATTCATCCAGCGCTATTTGCGAAAATTGCATTTCGTGAACAGGATTGTTGGTAGCCTCTAACATTTCATTTTTTTCCTATAGATTGAACCAGATGAGATTTTTTTTGGATAGCTAAACCATCAGGACTATTCCTACACCGCCACTAAGGCATGAAAGAGACCGACCAGATTTTTACCAGATGGACTGCTGTATGATTTCCCATAAAATATAAAGTTGTGTTCCCATTTATCATAAGACTAGGCTAAACAAAGCCTATAATGAGCAGCATTTCTCTGATGATGATTGAGATGAAAAATTAAAACGCTCCATCATGCTCCAAGGAACAACAGGAGGCAGAGAGACCGAGAGATTGTGAAAAGGATTGTGCCGCGAAATCAACACGACAATGTGCCAAAATATTGTCCATATTGATGGATACCCCAATAAGCAGAAGTCTACAGAAAGTTGCTCATTAAAGTCCTACAGTTCAATGAAAGTGCCAGATGGGAACTTCAAGGGGGCTCAGATCTGATAAGATTCTATAGAAAATTTATCAAATCAAATCTAATTGATTTAAATTGATCCTTTAGTCTGTATACTGTAAAAACAAACCTATAGAATATACTCAATAAAACTGAGGTCAGTTTGTTTGGGTTGATTTCATCCCATGTGTTGAGTAAAGATTACATTCAACGGCTATGACACACTAATGGCTTACAAAAACGGATTAATATGAACTCTTGATTATTATTGTCATTTTGGTAGCTAGCATAGCCAATGTTTGCAATGGACAAGTAGTTACTTCCCTAGTAAAAAGTAATATATTTAAAATACATTTATTTTATACTAAGTATAATTCAAATCCATTAACATATTTACTGACATATCGCTTGAGACTGAAACAATTAAACTTTATTTGGAGTCCTACTTGTGCACAATGCACATTTCTTAATACTAAGCCTAAAATGTGTTTTAATGTCACTATTGATGAGGATTGTATGATCTTTGAGTAATATTGGTCTTTAAATGCAATATATTTAAAGTGTACCTGAGGTACACTTGCAATAGTTCCACTTTAGCACAATCAAATATACTTCAGTATATCTTTAGTTGGACATCATCACTACTTCTGCACAATTAAAGTGCATCAAGTACAAAATTAGTTGTTCCAATTTAGCAAATTGTTACTAGTTTATACTAAAAGTACAACTGCAGGGTAATTTTATTGAGTACATAAATGTGTAAATGTACTTGTAGTATACTTAGTATACATGCAGTATTCATGAAATAAATGTATTTCAAATACATTTTAGTATATTTATTTTTCACTAGGGTTGTCACTGCACTAGCATTAATACAGCATCTGCTCATAGAGAGAAGCAACACTACAAACTTGAATCAAACATGTTAAGCCCACAACCTAACAATAAGTTCTACTCTTCAACACAATGAGTAAAATTCATCCTGACAAACTTTTTTAAATGTCAGATATAACTGAACATTATCAGGTCTTTACCTTTACTTAAATACACACTGAAGAACACTTACAGTTACTCTCCTGATCCAGCAATATGTAAAGCATGCTGGGAACTAAAAATTCCAATGCAACTTTTGCATATTTACATAAATTGGACAAAATTAAAACGAAATGTTTAGAAACTGTGCATTACAACTATATTAAAATAACAGCAAAAACATTTTTAGAGACCAAGGAATATTCTCTACCATCATTTCCAAGTATTTTAGTTCTAACTGTTTGATAAATATTTGTCAGACAGAACGTTCTCGTCACCGCTCTTATCTGATGTCCCCATCTGAATGGGATGCTTTAATCTGATTGGTGTGCTTGACAGGGCGCTTCCTCTCTGGGGCGTTGAGAGTGAGAACAGGAGATGAACACCTGCTGTCAGAGCCGCTTACATCTCCTCTTGGAGCTTCAGACAGCAGACGATCCCACAGCCCCACAAAAGCATCAACCCGACACCAAACCGACTCACATCCACAACCCTCACTTATTTATTGATCAGTTTTTGCCGCAAACAACTAATGGGCTGTACATTTAGGTGAATGGCACACAAAGCAACTGATGAGATTCGAATTG